TGTGTTCATCCAGCTCTACACCTTGTTATCTCAGATTCTCCAGCATCTGCAGTTCCTACTATCTCTAGCCAGGAGCTATGACTACTAGTGGGACTGCATCCAGACCCCAGTGACAGTTGTTGATATGGTTGGATTAGGAGATTCGGAAGATTCACCAGGGCAAGTCTGGTAGGTGCTAATGAGGAGGGATGGTATATGTGGTGGAGGACCAGGTTTTATAAAGAGAGCTTTAAAAATAAGGATTACCTTTTTAAAAACCGAAAGAACTGCGGATGCTGTAAATCAGGAACAAAAACAAAGTTGCTGGAAAAGCTCAGCAGGTCTGGCAGCATCTGTGCAGGAAAAAACAGAGTTAACGTTCGGGTCACTGGACCCGAACGTTAACTCTGTTATTACCTTTTTAAGACAGGATGAGGCAGAGGGCTGTGGGTGTATGGAACTCTTTTCCTCAAAGGTGGTGGAAACAGAGTTTTTGAATCTTTTTAAGGCAGAAGTCAGAGAATTCTTGGTAAAAAAAAATCTGGGTGAAAGGTTATTGGGGATAGGTGGGAATGTAGATTTGAGGTTACAATCAGATCAGCCATGATCCTGTTGACTGGCAGAGCAGGTTTAATGGGCTGAGTGACCTACTCATGCTCCTAACTCATGCTCACCTGGAGGTTTGGAAGGGCAGGGGTGGGACAAAATGGGTACCCATCATTTTTTGCGGGGGGGTGGTGGTTTCATTGGGTACAGGATTCCTGAACAACGGGATCTTCTTTCAGCCATTGAAAAGAACCATGTACCTCTTCATTGGCCTAAAGGTAAATGCCTCCCTGTTGCAGGTAAAAGGTGTGGTGGCACATAACATTCCATTCATCAAGACATTACAGTTCTGAAGGATGTTAAAGGTTTCAAAGACTATTAGTTAAGAATACACTGAGACTAAAATACTTTGGTGAAGATATTAATTGCCTATCACAGAGCTTATGTCTCCATTCTAAAGAATCTCCCTGTGATGTTGACTGGCTCTTCCTTATATACACATTCAGGTACTCTTTTAGGAAAATCAAATTAACCAACAGTGAAAGTGAAACAAAACGGCATCTTAGGGGCATTCCAGCTTAAATCAAAATTGTAAAGGAACTTAGAAAATCTTAAATCGAAATGTCATTCGTGGGGGAAATAATGCATCCCAGCTCTCCATGTCCATCTGTCAGGAAAAACTTCCACCGTGTCAGTAGACATTGTGTGCTCCCTCTCCTAAGGGCACCTGGGCATGGAAATAACCATGATAGAGGGGTTGGCAGTGAGGAGCTACAACCTCCTCCATGGCCCATTGCCTGGACTTAATGATAGCAACTTTGCCAGTGCTCTTGAGCAGATCCATTTTCCTTCCCTCCACTACATCAGGTGGCCAATGATTAGGAACATGGGGCTATGGTGTTTCCAAACGTTTGATGGGAAACTTAATTAAAAACTAAAAAGTCTTCTATAACCTAGGTACAAATGGTCCATGGACTCCACAGCACCACAGTTGACCTGGAGCTAGTGAACCACCTTGGTCTACAAGTGTTTAGGACTACTGCATCAACACCCTCCACACCAAGTTCTCAGTGAAAAGCAAGAGGACTCCTGCACACAGTGAGCACCATTAGGGATCTCCACAACTGGTGGTAGAAAAAACACACCACTGCATGCCTGGGTGGTAGATAAAGTTAAATAAATGAAGGGTGTATGGCAAACATATCTCTTTAGGGAAAAAAACAAATGAAAACTGTGAAAATAAAATAAGACAGCACCTTAGGGCAATGAAACTAAAGTTTTAAAAGAAACTTAGAGAATCTTAAATCAAAGTGTTCATGTGCGAAATAATGCATCCCTGCCCCTTCAGTGCCTGTCTTTTGTGAAAAACCTCTACTGTGACAATGGACACTGTGTGCTCCCTCTCTAAGGACACAGAGAATAAACATAGCCAAAATAGACAGCTAAGAAATCAGGAATTACAATCCTCTACACAGTCCACTGCCTGGATCTATTGATAGCTACCTTGCCAAGGCCCAGGAGCAGACCCACGAGGAGGTCCTCCAATTAGCCCGACCGCTCCACACCGGGTGCTCATTTAAATACTCTTTTGCAGAAAAAAAGAGCAAATTTACCAATTAAACAATAACTAACTAATCAATACTCAATAACTGCTTACTTTAGTTTTTAGTTTCTATCCAAAAAACCGATTTGATGCTAACCAAAGAGACTGTTCAGCCAATGTATGTGTCAATAGCAAAAGAACAATGCAACTCCTTCCTAAATGGAGGAAGGAATAGATTGTGGGAATATAAAAGTGTCAATTATATTCATTCCTAGTATAGCAGAGGATTACACCTATAGTTTATTATTGTGCTGATTGAACTATTTACCCTAGTTGTTTTTCCAAAGTCACTGATAGCAAATGGTATTTGTTATGAAGTATTTTCAATTATACATCACTGACAAAAACCAGGACAGTATATGAATTTCATAAAAGGCTAAACACCTCTCCAAGAATGAGTTAGACAGAGATGGTGAACAGATGCAGCAGGCCAGAAAAATTAAAACAAATACAGTGACAAAGCAGAAATAAGTAATAATGGAAGAGGAAGGAAGTATTAAGGTTCATGCCTAATTGCAAAGTGGAGAGCTGCTTTGTTTTTCAGCCCACCAAACCTGGAAAGTGATTATTGTATAAAGAGTGTTTTTACTGTTCAGCACATGCAAATCAGTTACAATTTGCAACCTATAGAATGAACCACACTTGTCTAGTCTGAATAAAATATATTCCTTCTTTTGTCCAACTATTACACTGTGACCTTCATTGGTTAATCTGTTTTACTGATTGTCCACTTTCTGGTTATGAGAATTTCCTTCTAATGTAATAAATGTCCAGACTTTAAAAATCTCCATATTTATCTACTCTATAGTGATTCACCTTACATGACTCAATTGGTCCACATTTTTTGTGGATTTGCACTGAGTCTTGTTTATCATCGTACCATAACTTGCTGGTGCGCATTGGCTTTCAATCTGACAAGACCTTGATTATAAAATGCTCATTCTTGTTTTCAAATCCTTTCACAACCTTTCCTCTTCCTGTGTCTGTAATTATCACCAGCCCCACAACCCTCTAAGATCCTTCACTTCTGCCATCTTATGCATTGCCAGTTTTAGTTGTTCCATCATTGGTGATCTTGTCTTCAATTGTCTTGGCTTCATGCTCTGGAATCTCTCTGCCTCTCTCTTCTTGTTTAAGGTTCATCTCAAAACCTATTCCCATTCCTGTCTTAATGTTCTTTTCTTGCCTCATTGTCAAATTTTGTTTAATACTGCTTCTGTGAGGTACACTTAAGGGTTTTACATAAATGCATGTTGTCCTGATGTCTTCACTTCAGATGGCATTTCATTAGTATATGTGCATACAGGAAAACATTGAAAGATGAGTCACAGTGTTTTCTCCGAAGATATTGTCATGTTTCTGAGTCAAGTTTATAAAGAGAAAAACCTCTCTAGACAAGATGTCCCCTATCACTTACCAGAAGGAAGTGTGATTTTTTGAAGAACTGCTTCCGGTAATTTCCAACAACCACTTTCTTCATCCCAAACACTTTCCCTTTTTATTTTGTCAATGTTGCTGTAGTTACACTCACGCCGGATTAGTGGCTGGATTCTTTCTAGGACTTGCTGCAGCAAAATGTTTTCTCGCTCCTGCTTCCTTATGGTAGACAGGTAGTCAATACGCTCAAACTCAAATTCACATTGGAGATCGGAGATTTCTATCTCTGCAACTTTGAGCTTATGGAAGATAAACAATAAACATATTAACAAACAATTTCTTTGTGGCCCAATAATAATCACTAATAAATAAAATAGGGAATTCAGCGTATAACGCTTCACTCAAACTGTAATGAAAATGTGGAAAATATGCATTTAAGAAGAATCTATGCAAGTAATAATAAGATAGAAAGGAAGTGAAGGAGAAGTTAGTGGGATGAGAGGAAATAAGGTCAGAGGGTGTTTATGTGTTGGATAAAGAAAGGTTTGCTTCTTGCTGAAATTCTACCTAAATAGGATTGGGTTTATTCTGAATTCACATACACTGAAAATGTAATCTCTTTCTTCACTATTCCATCTCACCATATTGTGACCCTTATGTAGAAAGGTCAGAAAATTTTTATTGAATTTGGTTCACAATTGGACATTGTGAAATTTACCACTAAACTCAGACTAAGACCAAATTTCACCAGAAACAGTGCATCAAGAGAATACAGTTGGGGGGAATAAAGTGAGAAATGTGGAAGTGACAGATAACTCAGCAACATGTCTATCAGTGTATATTAGTGTACTATTTACAATGGAATTTCTTCAATTCATTACTTGAAATGCCATCTTTAAGATAATAAGTTAACCAAGACATTTTCTTCTTGTTTATGTTGGACATATATAAAGATCCTAAGCCACTATTTAAAAAAAGTATGAAATTCCCTTGGTCTCCTGTCATCGTTCCTTCCTCAAGCAATGCCAGCAAAGACACATCACTTGATCATTACTTATGTGATATTTGTGGATCTGGCTGAATGCAAAAGGGTTGTGAAAGTCTAGAGGTTCAACATTTGTTTCTAGATTAAGAATGGTTTTACTAAACATTGTGCCTATAAAAAATGGGTGGATTTTCAAAATTCATTCATGGAATGTAGGTGTTGTTGGCAGTGTCAGCACTCAATGTACATCTCTAATTCCTTGAGCGGTGGCGGTGAGTTGCCTTCTTGAATCATTGCAGTTTGTGTGCTTTGGATACAATCATAGTGATGTTAGAGAGTTCCAGGATTTTGACCTAGTGATAGTGAAGGAAGAGTGATATAATTCCAAGTCAGGATGGTACAAGCAAAGAAAATGCTGAAGAAACTCAGCAGGTCTGGTAACATCTGTGGAGACAGAAACAGATTTACCATTTCAAGTCTGGTATGACTCTTTAGAACTGGGAGCTCAGTTCCAAAGAGTCATACCAGATAGAAATATAAACTCTCTTTCTCCACAGATGCTACTAGACCTGCTGAGTTTCTCCAGTGTTTTCTGTGTTTGTTTCAGATTTCCAGCAGGTGGTAGAGATCATCGGTTTGGAAGGTGCTGTTGCAGAAGCCTGGTGATTCGGTGCAGTGCATCTTGTAGATGGTGAACACTGCTGCCACTGTGTGTTGGTTGTGGAGGAACCCAATGTTGAAGGTGGTGGATAGAGTACCAGTCAAGCAGGCTGCTTTGTCCTGGATGGCATCAAGTTTCTTAAGTTTCCTGGAACAGTACTAATCCAAGAAAATGTAAAGTATTCCATCTCATTCCTGGCTTATGCATTGGCGATGGTGGATAGGCTTTGGAGAATCAGGAGGTCATTGCTGTCTTGCTCTGATAGCCGCAAGAAGCCATGTGGCCCATCAAGTCTGCACCATTTCTACAAAGGGCATCCCACCCACAGCCAGAACCCACCCTATCCCTGTAAACCCACATTTACCATGGCTAATCCACCTAACCTGTTTATCGCTAGAGACTATGGGGCAATTTAGCACAGCCAATTCACCTAATCTGCACATTGTTGGACTGTGGGAGGAAGCCAGTGCATCCAGAGGAAATCCATGCACACTGCAGAACGTGAAAATTCCACACAGACAATTGCCCAAGACTGGAATCAAACCCAGATCCCTGGCGCTGTGAGGCAACAGTACTAACTACTGAACCACAGTGTTGCCCTCAGTTTTTGGCCAATGATAACCGTCAGCATGTTGATAGTGTAGAATACAACAATGGCAATGCTCTTGAATGTCATCAGGAGACGGTTGGATTCTCCCTTGGTGCAAACATTATGTGTTATTTATTAGCCCAGATTTATTGTTGTCCAGGTCTTGTTGTATCTCTACAATGGCTACTCCAGTATCTGCAGAGTTGCAAGTGGTGCTAAATTTTATGCAAGCATCTGCAATCATTTCCACTTCTGACCTTCAGGTGGATTGAAGATCATTGATGGGGCAATTGAAGATAGTTTGTTTCGGATTCTATCCTGAGGAACTCATACACAAAAGGTCTATTTAAGCAATTATTATTATTAATACATAATTTCAAATAAATAGTCTGTGAACATTCCTTTAAATGCTTAATTATGAAATAAAACATACATTCCATTGCTCTGTTAATCGTACCATTTGTCAGTTGCATCATGAGTAACATTATTACTAGAAACCCCATGGGCAGAATTTGAATAAAACAAGCTGCTTCCAGTGGGGGATGAGGGTGGAAAGTCAGCTGTTACAAGACAATTAAACTGAAACTTAATCCAGTATCCTGGCTTAAACAGCCAGCACAAGTAAAACGTACCAGGTTCAGCAAGATAACTGCACAGTGGGGAATGAATGCTTTGAGAAGTTCTCTGGCTAGAAGGGATTTGAATACTGAAACAGTACGACAGTTTCCTTGCCTCGGTGAACAGCTTTTGCTCACAGGCTTTTTTCTGAGATCAAGTTGTCACTGCTTTACGGGAGATTTTCAACATTTGTAAGCAATTTCTATTATCTTGCATAGGCAAATGTCCTTGACAGTTAAGACAGTAAGAAGGAACTACAAAGAAAAAGCAGACCTTTCTTTGCAGATTTTCTATGTTTTTGCTTTTTGCTCGAACTTCATCCTGAATAGATTCATACACATTGATCAAGATAGCAGGATCATCTCGGTCTGTGTGCTTCAGTGCTTCTGCAAGTTGATTCTTTCGTTCATCTGCATACTTCTTCCGTCGTTTCCGTTTCTCCTTCAGCTCTGTATTTTTGGCCTGTTCTCCACCTACAACCTCATTCTCCAACATTTTCAGTCTACAATAAACAATGGAAAGTTTTATTAATTAGAATTGAATTTGATTTTTGGGTGACCAATCAATGAGGCACAGCAAACAGTCATTTTGTCCCTATGATGAAGAGGCAGTGGGATTTTGAGATAGCAGCCTACATCAGGCTAGTGAACTCTGGGTGCCATAAAGAAGTACCTGTTAAATATCAATTAGCAATGGGATTGAAAGCTAGAAGGATAAATATAAACTAAAGGAGTGTTACAATGCTAGAAGTATCAATCTTGTGATGAGATGTTTAACCATCCATCTCTCCAAGGTGAATGTAAAATATTTCATGGCACTACTTGAAGAAAAGTAGGAAGATTTCAATGTCATTGGTTCACACACATGACACAAGAAACACCAACAAAAGCAGATGAACTAATTTATCTCTTTTGCTGCTTACGAGGGCGTACAATTTGATTGCCACTTTTGATTACATAATAAGACAAGGAGTTGGAAGTTGTACACATAGATGGCCTGAATCATTTCACTTGTGCAATATTTACCAAAAGTTTTTTATAGAGTCAAAGGAACACTTATGGAACAGACCTTGCAAGCACTTCCTCCTGATCTAAAGTGGTGGGTGATGAACCAGATGGAGGACGTTCAGCCATGGTTTCTTCCTTTCGGAGCTGCATATCTAATGGAGAGCTTTGCTCTTCATTAATCGGTGTAGCTTTCTTGCTGCTTTCATGTGTGGCTATTTCAGGTTCTACCTCAATTAACTTGAAAAAATGAATAAGAACGTGAAATCATGAAAGAAGCGTTTTGCATTTGTCAGGTAACCAAATTCAGAAATTTCAGTAATTAATAGGCTTAATTGAAAAAATATACGCGTATGTATTAAAATGGATATTCAGCTAGTTTGTTATTTGTGGTTAATAGATAAATTCTAACATTAAACTATTAAGGACAGCTAGGGGCACATGAATGATAACTTCTTTGCTTTCCTTACTAATTAATAACAGCTATATTATCTCTAGTAATTGTAGGCCCATTCCATGGTGGAAGTGTGGAGAAGAAAGTGTGAGTGATCTGCACCAGACAACCTGGGATTGAGGAACTCTCTTCATTCAGGTGGAATAGAAAGGAACTTTGGGTGAATCCTGGATAATAACAGAGGAGGGGAAGCAAAAAAAGATGCTCTGATTTCCAACTAATTGCATGGGGTATATGTGGACTGAATGGTGGGACATTCTCAAAGAGGACAGTAGGAAAGCAGTCACATGTGGTGTCCCTCCACTGTATTTCCACCCGATTTAACTGGTCTCTACTGTTGGCCCTCCAGGAAATCAAGTACATCATTATTTAGAGGGCTCCTTTGTGAATTATGCACTTTTGCAACAGTAGAAGTATCAGAATTGCTTTAGAACAAATATGGTCTCTGCCTTTAAGCTGGGAATATTAGTTCAGAAGGGTAACTAACATGCATTTCTTATGACTGTCTATGAATTACCTTTTTTCTTTTGAATTTTGGTTTCCCATTTTCTGTGTTGATATAAAGCGATGTCTGGACAATCTTTTTTCATACTTTATTCAGTTGTAATTGCTACACATTTAGTTTTATACCAGACAAACCAAAATGTGTCAGTCTACTTTTTAAAATAGTTTAATCCATTTGCTCCTTCATCATTAAGGTGTTCAATGAATTATCTTCAATGAATTTCCACCATCACCAGAATACAAGCCATGATCCTGGTTCCTCCTCTGATTCTATCCTCCCTTGCTTATTTCTAGACTTGGCAAAAAAGAAAATTGGAATTCTTCCTGCTTTGGAACTGGCTGCTCTGATTTTAAGAAAAATCCAGCTATACTTACTCTTGTCAATTTTCCCTCCCTCCTTATAGACTTCTGCCTCTAACTCAGCATTGCAAATTGTGCTGATCTTGGGAGATAATCATGTGATCTTCAATCTTTGACATAAATTTCTTTCCTACGATACTAAAAGTATGTTAATGTTCCATGGCACCATCACACTGCATTGTAGATAAAAGTACTATTCTCAGTTATCCATTATCAGGCTTATCTGTATTGTTTCAGAAATGTTCAACGGTTGATTATTTACACAGATGTTGCACAAAAAATCTAAGCTGCTCTTTAGTGTATGTACAGCATTACTGTTTTCTAGTATCAACATACAACAGTATATTATTAGCCTTTTATATCATTCTCTCCATTTTCTTCTTTGATGAAATCATTTATTTGTATCCATTTTTGAACTGAGCAAGTCAGCAATTGATGACTGTTAACACTTATGGAACACACAGTTTCAAGAATAGTTAGATGGCAGCATTCAAATTGGTCCAGCAATAGGGTAGGGTGATGTCACAATGTTTTCATTAAGCCACTCAGGACATTTGGAGGGACTGTTTCACTGAACAGCAGTTCAGAATTTATAGGTCATGAGTCACAATGTGAGAAAGAGAGAAGTATATTCCATGTTAGGAGTGTCTATTTACCAGTTCTGCTGGGAAGACAGCTGGAACTGTATGGATTCTGCGTAGGGAACTCAGTGAGGAGTCCAGAGCAGCTGAATGACTCTATGATGTTAGAACCCGGATAGAAAGTATAGGAATTAGTAGACAGCTATGCGTTGGAGTCAGGGCTCAGAAGAAGTCCTGGAGAGCTGAGAAAGTGAGAAGTCGTTGTCTCTGTATTGCAGGAAGCTGAGAGAGACTCAAATAAAGCCTGTGAGCATTGATGCCAGTATAGCTAAGATACTGAAAAATGTACAAGCAGCAACTGCTTGATATAACTGAGCAAGATTGGAACCCTGAGGAAATCTCAAGGGCAGAATAGGGTCAGTGATGCTAGATATTGCTCAAGAGCTGGAGTTATAGCATGAATGAGTGCTGAAGTGCAGTTTCTGCATTCTAGATTCACAAAAGGGGGGTTGTCAACCAGAATGAGAGCAATTCTTGAGGTAGTCCATGATACAGTAATTCTTGAGAGGGAGATTCAAGGCCAGATGGGTAAAAGTGAAGAATTATCACCCCTTGTGAAGTCTAATGAGATGATAACCCTCTGTCTCATTATTGTCTGGGTATAATTGCTGAGAAATCTGTGGAATCTGTCTTGATTGCATTTGATAATTGGTGTGTGATACAGGATTTCTGCTACAGTCTATGGCCCATACTTATCATACTAATTCCAGGCATTAAAAGTTAAGTTGATATGTTTTGTGGATTGCATCATGGTTCTAGCCTTGAATAGAAATGTTGGTTGTTGTTTGCTGAAAACCGTGGAATTCTGAGGCTTTATTCTCTTAGTAGGTCCCAAATCCTCATACTTTTTCCAATTTAAAACAAAGTTTCTTGGTCCCAGCCAGACCTTAATAATAAATTGAAGTGGTTTGATTTGGAATCAATACATATTCCGTTACAGTCCCTTCAAACTGTACCATGGTCCTGCTATATATAATTAAGCTTGTTTACCTTAACCATATAAGCACCACCTTTTGTGGTTAAGGACCATTTTAAATCTACGTTTTCCATTTGCTTTGACTTCACTGCTTAATGCTCAGACTACTAGGCAAATTGTACTGGACACTGGATTAAAGAATTTTCTCCAAAGTACAGCAGAAGGAATGCCAAAGAATAGTTCAAGGAATAAGAAATTTTAATTACTGGATAGGTTGGGAAGACTGTGGTTGTTCTCCTTAGAGAAAAGGAGGTTGAGTGGAAATTGTTCAAAATCATAAGAGACCTAAACAGCGTAGCTAGAAAGAAACAGTTTCAATTGGAAAAAACGTTGAGAACCAGAGAACACAGGTTTAAAGAGATTAGCAAAAGAACCAAAGGAGACATGAGGAAAATGATTTTAACTAGCGAGTGTTAATGAAAGAGAGGTGGAAGGAAATTCAATCATAGTCTTTAAGAGATAACTGGTTAAGCACTTCAAAAGAATAAGGCAGGAGACTGAGCTAAAACTTTCTTCCAGAGAGCCAGCATGGGCTTGACAGCCTTCATTTTATGATTCTTTATTTTAACCTTACAATTAGCCTTAACAGTCCAATTTGGACACCAGCAAACACTTGAAAATTTAAAAATAAGGTATATATCAAATGAGGTAAAATCACAATGAGTCAAATTCAGATAACCTGAAACTCCAGTTGGTGCAAAGTTATCATTCATTCCTGCTAGCTGAATAGCAAATCCAATAGAAATCCTGTGATAAGTCAAAGTTCTGCACTGGTAACTCTGGATTAGCCAAACTCATACAAACTTGTCAACCAATCAGAACACAGTTAAGCCAAATACAGCACACATTTTTCTTACTTAGTCATGGGATGTGGGCATCAGTGGTTGGGCAGCATTAATTGCCCATCCTTAGTTACTCTTGAGAAGGTGGTGGTGAAATGCCTTCTTGAACTGCTACAGTCCATTTGGTGTAGGTACATTCATAATGCTGTTAGGGAGGGAGTTCCAGGGATTTTGACCCAGTGACGCTGAAGAAACAAGTCAGGATGGTGAGTGGCTTGGAGAGGAACTTACAGATTGTAGTGTTCACATGTATCTGCAGCGCTTGTCCATCTAGATAGAAATAGTCATGGGTTTGGAAGGTGCTGTCTAAGGAGCCTTGGTGAATTTCTACAATGCATCTTATAGATTGTTGCCACTTGCTGCCACTGAGTGCCAATGGCAGAGAGAGTAGATATTTATGGAGAATGTGCCAATCAAGCAGTCTGCTTTGTCCTGGATGGTGTCAAGCTTCCTGAGTATTTTTGGCAGGGAGTGGGAAATATCCCACCACACACTGACTTGTGCCTTGTTTATGATGGACAGGCTTTGGGGAGTTAGGAGGTGAGTTGCTTGCTGCAGTATTCCAAGTCTCTGACCTAGTCTTACAGCCACTGTATATATGGCTAGTCCAGTTCAGCTTCTAGTCAATGGGTATCCCTAGGATGTTGGTAGAGGAGGCTTCTGTAATGGGAATACTGTTGAATGTCAAGAAACGATGGCTAGATTCTCGCTTAAAGTTTTCGAGAAGATTTGTAGCTCAGGTTGTGGATGAAGTTGTAGACTTGCTTGCCGAGCTGGTGTGTTTGGTTGCAAACTTTTGTCACCCTGCTAGGTAACACCATCAGTGCACCTCTGGTGAAGTGTTGGTGTTCTGTCCCACTTGTTATTTATATGCCTCAGTTTTTTGGGGTATTTGGTACCACTTCTGGTCCTGTTTCTCAGTGGTTTGTACACAGGGTCTCATTCAATGTGTTTGTTGATGGAGTTCCGGTTATTATACCAGATCTCTAGGAATTCTCTGGCATGTCTCAGTTTGTCTCACTACACATGGACAAAGAGGGACACGAATTCAACTGGGACAACACAGCCATAATGTCATAAGCCAAACAGAGACACGCCAGGGAATTCCTGGAGGCCTGGTATTCTAACTGGGACTCTATCAACAAACACTTTGAATGAGACTCTGTGTACAAACCACTGACCACAAACCACCACTAAACACCCCAACAAACTGAGGCATGTAAATAAATAAGCGGGACAGAACACCCACGCTGCACCGGAGGCGCACTGACCATGTTACCTAGCAGGGTAACGAAACATTTGTAACCAAACCCACCGGCTCGGCGAGCATATCTACAACCTAGATTCTCTCTTATTTGAGATGGCCGTTGCCTCTCATTTGTGTGGCATTAATGTTACTTGCCACTTTTCAGCCCAAAAATCATGCGCAAAATGCTTCTTAAAATGACTCACAGGATGTGGGCATCACTGGTTATGCCAACATTTATTGTCCATTTCTAATTGCCCACAGGGCAGTTAAGAGTTAACCATATTGCTGTGGATCTGATGTCACATATAAGCTAGACCTGGTAAAGATGGCAGATTTCCTTCCCCAAAGGGCTTCAGTGAACCAGACAGGCTTTTCTGACAATTGCTACTAAGCTAGCTTTTTCTTTACATGCACCAAGAAATATTTTTAACACACATGAAACTGGCTTGGTTTACTTATTTTACCAGATCACTTTTTTTAAGTTCACAGGTGAAAAACGTAATGACGAAGGCAAAACAAGGAATTGTCACTGCTGTCATTTGCACCAACAGGACATAACTGAAAAACTGCTGCTTCTTGTAACATGAAACCCCAAGAAGCCTCATTGCTTTGTGAATGTCAACATTGTCCTCGCCAGTTGAGGAAAACAAAACTGCCTTGATGACTCAAGTCTTTTTGAGGCATGCATCAAGAATATGGTAGAATGTTTCAACAGAAGAAAAGGAAGATTTTCAGAATGATGATTCTGAAGTGTCTGATGAATTTCCACTCATTCATCCAGCTATGTTCCTAGCTGAAATTGCAAAGGCTGTAGAACTGCTCCAGGACTTTACAGTACAGTGAAAACATGGAAAACATATTTGGCTGCATTAACAATTCATCACATATTAACTATGTCACTGTCATTTCACTTGTTTTCTTTTAACATAGGGCTTGTTTGTAAGAAATTCAGGAATATATTGGGGCCTCCTTGGCAATCTTGAAGCTCTGTTTAACATAAATTTGTAGGCTGGTCACCTGCGATTCAATTTATCACAATTTTGCTGTATAAACCTATGCTTGGATAAGAGTCAGCAAAGGCTGTAAATATTATATTTCTGTGCTAATGTTCAGGAATACCCAAATATATCACCACTGTATTATAATTTAAACTAGCTGTCAGTGTATTAATGTTTATTCTGAATCTTATCACAAGAAGTTCTAAAATTAATCCAATAAAATGTGCATACATATTTAATGGCAGTATTAATATAGTATTTACCGTGGCAATATCTAGCTTCTGTTCTAATTCACATACATCCGCTAGTTCAACATTAAATGGCTGAGTTACCTCCTGGGCAGAGGCTCTTTCTTCAAATTCAGGTGCATCTGAGGAGATAGAGATACATTTGTATTTTTTGTGCTAGTTACATGCTCTTGTGTTGCTTCCTTAGAATTAATGACATTTATGCTCCCCAATCACCTCAACATTTAAATGCACATATATGCACAGTATATGCCAATATATGCACAGACTTTAAAGCAACGTCAATATTCTCTTGCATATATTCTCCTGGTCAAACAGAAAATGTTTGAGCATGTCAAAGTATTGCAACCACAGGTCATTGAAATCCTAAGTAACTTAAAGATGTTTCGAGATTAATTTTGAGGTAACTATAACTTTTTCAATTCAAATGCTTAATTGGATTGATTACTCTTAATTTTCCTCAATACTCTGAGGGTATCACAGTGGCCCAGTGGTCAGCACTGCTGCCTCACAGCATCAGGGACCCACGTTCAATTCCACCCTCGGGCAACTGTCTCTGTGGAGTTTGACATTCTTCCTGTGTCTATGTGGGTTTTCTCTGGGTGCTCCGATTTCCTCCCGTAGTCTAAAGGTGTGCAAGTTAGGTGGATTGGCCATGCTAAATTGCCCATACTGTCTAGGAATGTGCAGGTTAGTTGGATTAGCTATGGGAACTATAGGGATAGAGTAAGGAGGTGGGATGCTGTTCAGAGGGTCGGTGTGGACTCGATGAGCCAAGTAGCCTGCTTCCATACTGTAGGGATTCTATGAATTTCCACAGAAAAGTCTCATGTTATCAGTAATGTATAAATTGTTAATTATTGATTTTTTTAATGAGAACTAGTTAACACACACTATTTTTCTATTTTCATGTTATAATATTACACATTTACCCCTCTAAATAATTAACTCCCACCCCCTGTAATGGAAAAGGTAAAAGATAACAATAGATTACTTTCTGTAGAGATTGTGAGGGCAAAACATTTAATCATAGTTATTTTTGAAGGTAAAAAGGAGAAGGTGTGCAATATTCAAATGGCAGTCAATCTAGCATGGGGACACGTATAATCAGATTACGGGACATATACCATCTTGACAGCTTGCTCAGGAAACACAGTATTGCGATGTCTTTCAGATGCTCTTTATCAGGACAATTAAAATTGATACTGAACTCACAACAACAGTGTTTCTGAAAGACAGAGAGATGAGTTGGGCAGCCAGTTCTTGAGTAGGCTTTCCTCAAGTGAAAACTGAACGATCTCCAACTGCATAAAAATATTATCAATCATTATCATAAAACCCAGGCAGGTGATTTTTAAGAAGTGAGTCCAAGTAATCAGCTAGTGATTTCTCAGAAATGTCTTTTAAAACTATGTTCCAATATCCTTTCATTGATCTTTTAGGAAAGCAAAACACATGTATCCAAAATACTTGAAATTAATCAATTTTTCAGCAATCCTTATGAACTAAAAGTCTTCAAAAAATAAATATGAAATCTTCATAACTATCGTATAATGATTCTATCCAAGTGCTGGGGATTCACTTGTATCCTTGAGATTCATCAGTGAGAAACTGTTGACAGTTAAATGCTTATAAAAGAATATAAAGATAGGCTTCAGTTCTATCCTTCATCAAATGGCCCTCTGGGCTATGATAACTAATACCCCATATGAGATTCTCTAACATCACTCAGAAGTAACCCTACAACTTAGCTTGTCCATCAGACTCTGTTCAGTAATCTATGAGTTTAGCTACAGAATGAATGGGAATGCTCAATAACCAGAAGGGACACTTTAAAGGTAGAATTTTAGGTGTCTCCAGGGGAAGATTGACAAATGAGTTGGCTGGGCTAAAATTTGATGCCATACCTTTATTACTATTTCTGGTGTCTTCCCTCCCCTGCTGCAATGTTGCTCACAGTGAGGAAGATATCAAGGAGGTCTGCAAATTGAGCCCTTAAATGCCCAATTAATGGCCATGTAGGGGCTTCCTCTGACTGCCGCTAAGATTTAACCATTGGAAGCTGTGTCGATCTCAAACTGTGTTGCCCAGCAATTTTCACTGCTTCGGCTGGGTGGAAGAAGGGGGAGGGGTGGTGGTGGGTGAGGTGAGACTCCTTCTTCACAGGCACCCTGTGCACATTGGAGACCTCCCTTGCAAAATCCTGCAACCTCCATGTTTCCCATTCCCTCTGCATTGCCTACTCTGTCCCTTTGGCCTCTTAAAGAAGGTTGCCGGCTTGGCCTTGGCGAGACCTCCCTTTTTCACCAATTACCTTTGTATCCTGCTCCATCAGCAGAGACCATTACACTACTCCCAGTGGAGCTGCTAGCACCATACAGCTGAACATCATTTGACTGGCTGCAGAATGCCTGTCTCAAGTCAAATAACACCTTTTAATTTATAGCTGTCATGCAAGCCACCCTCAGCATAAAGTCCAGCCCTCTTCTAGTACTCTTGGCAAGGAATGGCACCTTCATGGAATATACTTCCTAAGACTCATTACTGGAAGTGCTAAAGAGCAAATTTAAACTATTACTTGAAATAATCATTTAATTAATTTAAGTTAATTCAATCAGATCCCTTCTCATTCTTCTAAACTCTAGTGAATACTGGCCCAGTCGAACCAATCTCTCTTCATAGGACAGACCTGCCACTTCTGGTATCAGCCCAGTGAACCTTCAATGCACTCCTTCTATGGCAATTATATCCTGTATTTATTGTCTTTTAATTTACTAATTGCTTCAAGATTGCAATCAGTGCTGTGACTTGTCTGGGGATGGTTGTACAGTTCTCTTTCAAGAAGATGGGCTCAGCATAGAGAAGCAAGGGGAGAGTTTTTCAAATAGTTAAACCAGTACCAAAAGAAATACTCAACAGTGGAAAAACAAAACCCTGGGATCGTTGCTGGCTCTAAAACTGACCTATCCCCCACTAACTCCACACCACCCCACTCATCTTTACTGGCTCCACCCCCGCCTCTTTGACCTGTCTGTCTCCTCTCCACCTACCTTCTCCTTTATCCATCTATCCACCTCCCCCTCTCTCTCTATTTATTTCAGAATCCCCTTCCCCTCCCCCATTTCTGAAGAAGGGTCTAGGCCCGAAATGTCAGCTTTCCTGCTCCTCTAATGCTGCTTGGTCTGCTGTGTTCATCCAGCTCTACACCTTGTTATCTCCATTAGACAGGTATACAGGAACTTTGAATGCTATGATTGAAACATTAACTTTTCTGGCAGCCGCAGGAGTAGAGGGGCTTTAGAATCAGTACACTCCCAAGTGGTTTGTAACACTTCGTGGAAAATATATAAAAAACAAAATGACAGACTGCTTTGGGGGAGTTTGTTATTACAGCCTTATCACTTACATATTGTTTATACTGTGGAGAAAACAATGTAATCAACATTCCTTCTAAGCTGCATGGCCTTGCTCCACGAGTCCAAACATGTTGACTTTCAGTTTCCCCAAACATTGCCATGCATGGACAGCACAGTGCATAGCGAGACTAAAGGGAACAAAGAGCATAATTTTCAATGCTAAGTAACCTCATTTGAATTGTTTAAGTACCTGGAAAGTATCAGAGATAACTGTATAAGCGACAAGAGTGAATGAAAATGAATGTGTGCATGTGTCTTAATACTTTCATACATGCAGGACTGTTTTTTCTACTTTGCAATGAAAGTCATATGAAATTAGCATTCCATTTTTCCAAGGGTAGACGTGTTATGAAATCTTCATACATAATACGTTTGAGGACTTGAGATCTGAAGGATTGTAATAAAATTGATTCATTTCAAATTATGTGAATATCTGGATTATGTTTTTAAGGTCAATGAAAGGAGACATTGAAACACATTTTTAAGAGTTACTGCTGGGAAAACATATGACTCAGCTGATTGGTTAGAGTCAGTTCTTAGAAAGCAGCTGGAAAAGCTCAGCTGGTCTGGCAGCATCTGTGAAGGAGAAAACAGAGTTAACGTTTTGGGTCCGGTGACCGTTCCTCAGTTCTGAGGAAGGGTCACCGAACCTAAAACGTTAGCTCTGTTTTCTCCTTCACAGATGCTGCCAGACCTGCTGAGCTTTTCC